CAGGGAGCCCGATGCGGGACTCGATCCCGGGACTCCAGGATCATGACCTGAGCCGAAGGCAGTCGCTTAACCAACTGAGCCACCCAGGCGCCCCATGGCTACATGTTTCTAGAAATAAAATTGCTGGGTCAGGTGGTGTGCATGTACAGCTGACTTGAAGAGGGGGGTTAGAGGCGCTAATCCTGGGGTAGTCAAAAATCCACATATAATATTTATTTGTTTGTTCATTTGTTTGTTTTCAAGTATAATTAACATACAGTGTTATATTTCCACATGTTTCTTTTGACTCCCCCAAAGCTTAACTGCTAATAGCCTACTGTTGACCAGGATAAGCAGTCTATTAGCACGTATTTTATATGTTATATGTATTCTATACTCTATTCTTAGAATAAAGTAAGCTATAAAAAAAATTTATTAAGGAAACCAGAAGGAAGAGAAAATATATTTACATTAACTATACTGTAAAAAGTCTGTGTATAAGTGGGCCCGTACAGTTCAAACCTGTGTTGTTCAAAGGTCAACTGTATTTTTAAAAAAATTTAATTTTGAGTATAGTTGACACACAGTGTTCCATTAGTTTCAGGTGTACGTCCTAGTGATTTGACAAGCCTATACATTATGCTGTGCTCACCACCAGTGTAGCTCCCATCTGTCACCATACAACACTATTATAATACCACTGACTCTGTTCCTTGTGCTGGGCCTCCTATTCCCATGACTTATTCATTCCATAACTGGAGGCCTATATCGCCCACTTGCCTTCACCCATTTTGCCTCCTTCCCTCTAACAATCATCAATTTGTTCTCTGTATTTATAAATCTGATTCTGCTATTTGTTTGTTCATTTATTTTTTTAGATTCCACATATGAGTGAAATCATATGGTATTTATCTTTCTCAGTCTGACTTAGCTCACTTAGCATAATACCTTCCAGGTCTGTCCATGTCATAAATGGCATGATCTTATCCTTTTTAATGGCTGTGTGATATCCCATTGCATATTTAGATGTACCCCATCTTTCTTATCCATTTGTTTATTGATGGATGCTTAGGCTGCTTCCATATCTTGGCTGTTGTAAATAATGCTGCAGTAAACATAGGGGTTCATGTATCTTTTTAAATCAGTGTTTTTGTTTTCTTTGGATAAATACCCAGTAGTGGAATTTTTGGATCATATGGTATTTCTATTTTTAAGTTTTTGAGGCACCTCCATACTGTTTTCCATAGTGGCTCTATCAATTTACATTCCCAAAAGGTCAACCATATTTTAAGGCTTTTTGTGTGTCATGCATAACAGCCTTCTGGAAGAATTGTACTAGTTTATATTCCTGCTAGCACTACGTGAAACTGTTTCCTACTCTTGTCAAAACTGTGTCACAGCTTAACAGGGTTATTTTCTGTTTTATTTCTTGCCCTTGGTCTCCCTAGCCAGACGACAAACTCGTGGTGCTGGGGCAATAGCAGCTAGTCATTGAGCACATTATTGCCAGAGTGTGGGTGGGGCAGGGACTGGTGGAAAACAATTCCTGAGTGATCAGTCTCTGACCCTAAAGCCAGAGCACCTTTCATAAGGGCTGTCATGAATCTCTAAAGAGTGTCAGCAATTCCGGTTTCTATATTTTCAGTCGCTCTTGACCAATGTATCTGAAATCTCTTTTATAGATCCTGGAGTAAAAATCTATGGCTGTGCATTACCCCCTGGAGGCTCTGAAGGATCTGAGGTATTGTATGGGATAACTGACCTTGAATTTGGTATGGAAACATCTGTTTCTTTATGAATGTGAAATTTTAGGGTCAGAAACGATTTTAGAAATCCGTCGGATCCCGTTACAGTGAAATGCTCCCACCCTAAAACTACCTTCACATCAGAGAATGTAATTAGCAACATGCCAGCACCATAGATATCCAAGTCTGTTCAGATTCTTAAAATGGCACTGTTTTGTGTTAATATCAAGAACTTGATTTAGTGATTTGTGATAGAGGAAAGGAAAGTTTGGTCAATGTTCTGTTTGGAAATAATCATTTTTGAAAATAGTATTTTATAGGACTTTGCACCAGTCAGTGAGTCACCTTCATTCCACTTTTTCATCATTGTGAAAGCAGGAGGAAGATGATGACTATGTGCCTGAAAATGTGACCTTTGCCCCCAAAGACGTCACACCTGTGGATTTCACACCTAAAGATAATGTGCATGGACTGGCTTACAAGGGCCTGGATCCCCACCAAGCATTGTTTGGAACTTCGGGAGAACATTTTAATCTTTTCGGGGGGGGACCCCAGGGGACCAGCAGTCTTCTTGGAGAGGTTGGAGTAAATAAAGGAAGAAAATTGGGAATCTCAGGCCAGGTAAAAGTTTCTGTTTCATGAACATGGAAGCATTGACAAATGAGAATGCTTTCCATATCATGTTATATATATGGTAGGCACTCATTATTCATTGACTAACCTGAAGACTTTGAAGTGGTTATTTCTTCCGTACAGTCTTTTCTGAAGACATGTAAAGCACACCTTCCTGATTTTACTGCTGACATCCTGTGACCTAATGTTCTTGGTGGAGTTTGTGTGTTGCCAGGACTGAGGACTGCTTTCTCACACCCTTGTGGGACTGAGCAGAAAAACCACGCTTACCCCTTTGATTTAGTTAATAGTTGAATTGTAATCTGCCTCTCAAGTTCAAGTCCAAGTTTTACTACCTCTCAGACTGTTTCCTAGCACTGCAAGCCCCAGGTTGGGAACGTGAGTGTACGTTTCACTTGGGAGCCTTGCTTTTTACCTTTGAGGAGATGGAGAGCTTCCCTGATTGCCTGTGCTCTCAAATTGATTTAGAGCCTCTTTCTTAAATTACATTTAGCAAATTTTGTCATTACCTTTTCTTTCCTATACATGTTCTTTCCCAATTTTTTTAAACAAAAAATGATACTTGTTGGAGGCCGTGTCCCACAACGATTAGGAGTTCTTACCATAGCTGTTTCAGTAGTGGTAGCCTTCAGATCCTAGTCACCAGCCCTGGCTACACTGAACAGTAGATGAATATTCTGCCTTTCTCCTTTTGGAGGCCCTATTCTTCTCCTGCCTTGCTGTTTGGGTGTGTTCTCCACACCTTCCTGTGCTAGGACCCAGACCCGTAGCTGCTCCTGGGCCCAGAGGACAGCTCCAGCACTGGAGGCATGGCATTCACTTCTGGTCATGGTTTCCAAGACAACTTGAGTCTGTGTGTCAATCTGGTCTCCCACTTCCCTTGCCTCTTGGTGATCTTGCGGTGCTAATGTGGACTATTCGGTCACATCCTTAAAGTAGCTTTATCCTTCAATGGAGACACACCCTAAAACCTGTAATTGCTCAGTTCAAAACCTTGTTTTTGAAGGCTTTTGGTGTTGGTGCCCTGGAAGAGGAAGATGATGACATCTATGCCACGGAAACTTTATCCAAATATGACACCATTTTGAAGGATGAGGAGCCTGGAGATGGACTCTATGGCTGGACAGCCCCCAGGCAATATAAAAGTCAGAAAGGTAATTCCATAGATCCACAACCGATGGTAGGACCACATATCAGGGTATTATAGGAAGAAGGGGTTGCAAAATTGATATCGGAGTGTCAGCCTCTGTGGAGTTGGGGGTTGTGGGTGAAAGATGCAGGGTGAGAAACAAAGTGGGGAGAAGAGAGGCCCAGTGTGGAGAGTAAGGCAGAAGCTAGATGTAGACCGGGGGGAGCCAGAGCCAGCTGTCGAGACGAGGCCAAGGTGGGGAGGAAGAAGAGGTCTGGAATCAGGGAAGGAGCGAGTATGAGAGCAGGTGCTTGTGCTGCAGGGTAGAAGTATCACGGGGTCAGAGGGAAGCCCGAGGACCTGGGCAGCTGGCCAAAGTAGGCCAGCTCAGGCAGCGGGTCGGAGGCTAGGTGTGGGGATCTGCAGCAGGGGGAACATGGCACCCCGCTGGTCTCTTCACTTGAGTCCCTGGCTCTTAGGAGGCTCTTGTTGGGCTAGGAGATGGATACCTCTCAGCGCAACTTGGATTTCAAGTCAGAGTCTGTAGGGATTCAGATCCTATGGTTCTAAGTAGAAGGTCTGTGTTTCTTTCCAGAAAAGGTACAGGGAGGAGACAGTGTGGAGCAGGCGTGAGTAGCCTGTGATTTGGAGTGACGTGACTGGATTTGGATTGCCGCGGGACCTTGGGCGAGGCTCATAACCTTTCTGGGTGTCATTTGTAAAGTGATGATCAAATCCACTCTGAGGGTCATTGTGAGGATTAAGTGGCATAACTCCATGTTGGGCACAGTACCTGTCCAAAGACTGAATAAATAGCACCCACTCTTCTTTGGTTATAATAGTAAGAAGCTCCAAGGTGAAGTAAGGAGGTGATTGCTGAGATAAAACATCTATGGAGACATTTCTAGCTGTCCTTAAATCTGATTGAACTCCTGTAAAATACATCTGAAACACACATGTTGAAATAATCTCAGTAATCCAAGCATAACTTCCCAAAAGGATGCCTATTTTGCATGTCTGGAAGAAAAAAAGGGGCAAAAGAGTTTTTAGAGGTGTTTGCTTAATGGCTGTGAACACACGTTCTGAAGACAGACTGCCTCCGCTCCAGCCCTGGCCCTGCCCGGTTGTCAGCCATGACCTCGGGCAGGCTGCTTCATCTCCCTGTGCCTCAGCGTCCTTGCCTGGACCGTGGGCATGACCAGGGCCCACCCACAGGGCTGTTCACGGACGGAAAAGGCTTAAGACATGCCGGGCATACGGCAGGCACTCTGTGTCAGTGGCCTCTGTCCTCATCACCGAAAAAGGAATCTAGGGTTTTACACAAGATGCTGGGAGAGTGTGCACCCAAATGTTAGTTGGTGTTACCACTTCCTTTTGGTTGCCTGTATTTTCAAAATTTTCTACTAAGACTATGTATTTTTATAACTTAAAAGAAAATGTATGGGGCGCCTGGGTGGCTCAGTCCGCTAAGTGTCTGTCTCTTAACTTCGGCTCAGATCATGATCTTAGGGTTGTGGGATGGGTCCACACATCAGGCCCTGTGCTGGGTATGGAGCCTGCTTAAGATTTTCTCTCTCTCCCTCTCCCTGTGTCCTTCCCCAGGCCCTCTCTCTAAGAAAAAAAAAAAAAAGGAAAAGGAAAAGAACAAAATATTAGTATGTTACAGTATATTAGTATTATAGATTATACTAACATGTTAATCATTACTTATATTGAATATGCTAATATGTTAATATAATACTGTATCATAATATATTAAGATGTATTAATTATATAATATGAATATCATTATATATTGGTTATATAATAATTACTAATCTATAATAGATAAACATATTTAAATCTGCCTCTTGGGCCAAATCTTTGGCTTTTCCTTTATACAACACCTTTGTGCCTGTTGACTGAATTCCACCCTTCTCATCAAGCCTGAGCTGGTGACTTTCCCTGATCTCCCTAGGCTCCTCTCATCCCCTCTCTGCTATGGCCCCCTCTCCTCTCCCACCCCAGGCATAACTTCTATAGTTTTTTCTATAGTTTTGACCTTAAGGTTTTTCACTGAGTGAATCTAAATTTAGCCAATCTTCATGGTTGATTTTTAAACTATTATTTTTTTTCACGATCCATATGGCTATAATAAATATTCTGTGGCTCTGTCTTTATGCACATTTGTTTTTTATTTCTTCAGAATAAATTCACAAAAGTAAAATTGCTGGGCTTTAAACAAATACAAAATTCTAAGAGTATGAAAGGTTTTTAAATTTTTTTTATTTTAATTTAATTTAATTTTAATTCCAGTTAACATACAGTATAATATTAGTTTCAGGTGTACAATATAGTGATTCAACAGTTCCATATATCACCCGCCACTTATCACAACAGGTGCACTCCTTAAGCCCCATCACCTGTTTTTTTTTTTTAAAGATTTATTTATTTATTTGAGAGAGAGAGAATGAGAAAGAGCACAAGCCGAGGGAGAGACAGAACGAGAGGGAGAAGCAAGCTCCCTACTGAGCAGGGAGCCTGACGTGGGGCTCCATCCCAGGAACCTGGGATCATGACCTGAGCCGAAGGCAGACACTTAACCGACTGAGGCACCCAGGTGCCCTAGACTGTAGTTCTTTATTTTTTTAAAAGGTTTTATTTATTCATTTGAGAGAGAGAGTGAATGAGAGCACAAGCTGGGGGAGCGGCAGGCAGAG